AGGGGAATCGCCAGAATTTTAGCTGCGTGTAGCCCTGCCGGCATGACAGAAGTCAATTACTCAATCTGCTTTTGTCAAAGGAACCAGGTCGAACTTTTTCAGCTGACCAGCGGCTGTGGCCACTCGGCTGCTATCACCGTTTATGTATTCTGACAGCAGCAGGCACCAGCTGTCAGAATACAAAATGGCTACAGTGAGGAATTCATCCAGCCACGCTGGACATTATTGTATGGCCAGCTTTAGTTATATCCCACTTTGCAATATTCAGCTGTGCCAGCATTCCACAAGTCACATTTGGACGCTTGGCGAAACATTGCCTGCGTTCTGGTCCACTGAACGCAATGTTTTGCAACACGTCCGATCACACTGCAGGGGAGGGGTGGCTGCTGTGCCATTGACGTCAATGCATCACCATGCCCCCTCCTGCCCCAGGACGAAGGGGGAAGTTTAGTGAGCGATTGCTGTGAGCTCCAGCAGCTACCGCTCTGGAACGCACAGCAATTGGTGTGAATGGGCCCTTAGACCCCTATGCACTGAGGAGACGAAAGTCTATGTCCTGGAGCAGGGGTATCCAATCTTGAGCCCTCCAGCTGTTGTGGAACTACAAGTCCCATGAGGCATTACAAGACTAGCAGCCACAGACATAACTCCCAGAGGCAGATGCATTTTGGGATTTGTAGTTTCACCTCAACTGGAGGGCAAACGTTTGCCCTAGGGTGATGCAAAAGGATGCAACATCAAGCTGCCGAGCCTGCACAGCACAGAGGGAATACACGTTGTGTGTCAGTGTAGGAGATGGTGGGGCCGGAGCTGGGCAGCAGCGCAGGGGATTTTTTTATTGTGTCTGCTCACACCAGGATGTGGTTTGTTAGGAAGAGACCTCACTGAGAGATTGCAGATGTTTATACAGATGCAGTTGAGTCATCACAGGGAAGATCTAAATCAGCAATCACACTGGTGGGAATACCCGTATGAAGAAAGCCACAAAACCTTATTTAATAACACGGCACAAAGAACAAAGGTGTTATATGCGGTGACCCATAGCAACCAAATAACCGCTTAGGGTGGTTTAGTATCGTCACAGAGATCAAATTCGATTTTTAATTGGTTTTAAATAAGTAAAGACCAAAATGTATTAATGACTGCATCTGCCTTTTAGGGCTTGCTCACACCATAGCGCTGTGCGGTTACCAAACCCTATTGCACAGCACATGGTACCTTGTGCTAGCTACATTGCATTACCTTCCATTTGAAAGGTGCCCCAATGCACGTTTTAGCAACCATATGTTACAGCACAGGGGGTGGTTGTGCAATATAGTTTGCTGCAGTGAAAGAAAAAAAAAAAAAGTTGCACGCACAACCTTTTTCACCACAACACAAGGTAATGGGGCTCCGTGCATTGCGCTGCAGCACATGGCCACCAAGAGGTGCACTGGAGTACCATTCTAATTAATGGCAATGCACATAGCGTGCAGTAACGCATGCGAAAAGGTGCTGTACGATAGCGTGCACTGAATGCTATGGTTTGAACGGCCTCTCTAGCTGAACTGCGGGGACAAAGACCCAGCACAAGGAGAGAGAGATTACCTGTAGTCTGAGGCGACATTGTCCT